TGTGTGTGTGTGTGTGTGTGTGTGTGTGTGTGTGTGTGTGTGTGTGTAGTGGGAGGATTCCTTTTGGGTGGAAAGAAACAAATTCTCTGGCTCGGAGGAGAGTGTCACTTTCTAGGTTACAGGACAGACAGTGACCAGCCTGAGCCCCCAATGCCAAGTCAGCAGGAGAGACTGGTGTCTGAGTTGGGATGCCTCCCCTAGAGGGTCCCATCTGGAAGTCCCAGAGATCTCTCAGGGTCTCTCCTTGCTGTCCCTTTCACACAGGTCTGAGTTTCCCCAGAAGTATTACTGGTGGTTCTTCCAGACTGTACCAGGTAAGAACCCTCCCTGATCCATGAATTTCTGGACCTGACTGTGAGCTCAAGGCTCTGGGTTCTCTGTACCCCAGAGCAGACCAGGTTCACTCACTCAGTTCTTCTGGTGACCCAGGCTCTGCCCTCTGGCCGGATGATACTACTAGGTGGCAGGAGACTTAGACTATTCTGCAATGCAGTCCTCCTCCCAGGAGCTTAGCTGGGTTTCTGCCCCTACTTTGGGCTAGTTCCTCCTCTAGTAGGGGTAGTAGGAGAAATACGTCCTACTCTGGACTAGTTCCAGTGGAATAGGAGTGGCTACCTCTTCCTCCAACACACACACATACCATAACTGTAGCTTGGAGAAACGCTGTACCCCAACTGCATGGGGGAGGGGTCAGGCTCTTTGTCAATCCAGAGGCCTCTACCCAGTATGCCTTGAAAAGAGTGTTTGGGGGATATTCCTAACTCCTTATAATCACCCATCTTAGAGCTATTAGCTGTGAATCTATTCAAACTCTCTTGAAGCTATTTATAGTTTCAGTCTGTTCCTTCCTTGGGGTAACACAATCTCTATACTGGCTCCTCTCTGTGAAACACAGCATGGCTTTTTTTTTTTTTTTAATCCTAAAATGATCTGCTTTGAACTTCAGAGGGTGCTTGCTAATTCCTGCACACTGAGATTTAGTGGATAAGGCTGTGTTTATGCTCTCCTCTCCTTTTAGGACTTTACAGGCTTTGGTTAGATCCCTTCTTAACCTTTGCTTTTTTACACTTCAGGGCTCTAATCTTCTTAACTTCTGCCTCTCTCCTCCTTGATCACTTGAGGGACCATTCTCTGTCCTCCCCACCCTGCCCTGGCTCCAGTATTATCCCCCTATATAACTATGGCCTGCATCCCCTGTGAGAGGAGGGGCCTGCCACCAACTCTGGGTTGTACTTGGGGACTCTGGTGATGAGCAGGGAGTGTGGTGCTGCCCAGCCACTAACAGTGCCAGTGCTCATGTTGTGTGCTGTGGCAGCCAGTGAAGAGTGATGCAGGGACAAGGACCAAACCTTGACTCAGTGAGGGCAGGCCTGCCATTTCCATTGTCTGGCCCAGAGCGGACACCCTGTGCATCCATTCATTCAGCACACATTTATATAGGGCCCACGGTGTGCCAGGCCACTGCACTAGGCACTAGGATTCAGTGGCAAACTTAGCCCATTCCTTGTACTTGAAAACCTGAGAGTCAGGAAACTGACACACAAAAACCAAATAATGACATGGGTGAAAAATCGGCTGGGCACAGTGGCTCATACCTATAATCCCGGCACTTTGGGAGGTCAAGGTGGGAGGATCACCTGAGGCCAGGAATTCAAGACCAGCCTGGCCAACATGGCGAAACCCTATCTCGACTAAAAATACAAAAATTAGCTGGGCATGGTGGTGCATGCCTGTAGTCCCAGCTATTTGGGAAGGTGAGACAGGAGAATCACTTTAACTCAGAAGGCGGAGGTTGCAGTGAGCCAAGATTTCGCCATTGCACTCCAACCTGGGTGACAGAGCAAGACTCTCTCAAAAAAAAAAAAAAAAAAAAAAAAAATCATGGTGACAAGGGCTATGAAAAATGAATAAGGTCTGCTGAAATAAAAGGTACTTGTGATCATGGTATGGGGAGAGAGGACCAGAGGAGAATGCTGGAATATTCTTACCCCAACTTGGGCAGTGGAGTGAAGAGGGGACCTTGGAAGCCCCAGAATAGCCCCCTTTCATGGCACTGTTCCTCCGCTTTCCACCCTATGTTCACGTTGCAGGCCTCACAGGGGTTGTGCTGCTCCTGGTCCTGGCCATCATGTATGTCTTCGCCTCCCACCACTTCCGCCGCTGCAGCTTCCGGGGCTTCTGGCTGACCCACCACCTCTACATCCTGCTCTACGTCCTGGTGAGGGCTTTTGGTGTTGAGCCAGGCCAGGAGGGTATGGGTAGGACATATCCAGAGAGGGAAGGAGGGTTGAGACATTCGTTCTATTTCAAGTTATCTGAAGCATCCTCTTCACTTCTCCACATCCCTCTTTGAAGGTGGAGATGATAGTACAGGGCTCTCCAGTAGGATGACCCAAATATGCAGCACTTGGAAGGTCAGCTCCCTAGCATGGGTTTTGCAGTAGCAGCCCTGCCAGACTGATCTCCATTCCTCAAAGACACCTCTATGTCACTTCTGCCCAGCTAGTCTTTCCCTACTTTGGGTGGCTGCGTTTGGCTCCTGGGTGGACTACTTGCACCCAAAAGAACATCACCCTTTTTGAAGAAACTTATATTAAATGGGTTCTGCCATTTTTGTTCTGATCCTATTTGGGGGGGCATTACTCATAACACCCCACTAACTGCCACTTGTACAGCATATAAGCTTCTTCAAAATGTCTTCAGATGGACTGCCGATCAAATGATTTTTTTTGAGAAGGGAGAAGTCTTGCCTTGTCACCCAGGCTGGAGCGCAATGGCACAATCTCAGTTCACTGTAACCTCTGCCACCTGGGTTCAAGCCATTTTCCTGCATCAGCCTCCTAGGTAGCTGGGACTATAGGCACGTGCCACCATGCCCAGCTAATTTTTTGTATTTTTAGTAGAGACGGGGTTTCACCATGTTAGCCAGGATGGTCTCAATCTCCTGACCTCATGATCCACCCACCTTGGCCTCCCAAAGTGCTGGGATTACAGGTGTGAGCCACAGTGCCCAGCTGATCAAATGGATTAAGACTCTACCTCCTGCCTCCCTTGGGTTTCTCGTTGGCTGTTTAGCTGCTTAGTTCCCGAACTGATTCTGTGTCCCTGTGTTGTGGCTCTGTTTGCCTGCCTTCCTCGTGAACAGAGACGTTTCCCCAAATGGTACTCTGAGGGCCTCATTTAGAAGCTAAACCAAGTCCCAAGGCTCCAGCTCTTCCCTGCAGCAGAATGGCACACAGGGCTTTCCTTCGTGCTGAAACAAAGAGACACTATACCATGGCCTCGATCAGATTGGCTCCTGCTGTCTGACCTGCCTTCTCTCAGGTGCAGTTCTGTCCTCACTGACAGCAGGGTCTGTTTCATCTTGCCTGTGGCTCAGCATTTCACAGTTCTGAAGATGACTACTCAGCCTTGGCATGATGATGTACGTTTCCTAAGAAATCTCTTTCTGTAGAAGCTGTGACTAATTTACCCTCTCTCTTCCTTTTCCCAATAATGAGTGGGGCACTAGCATTCTTGGTTACTGCTTCTCATGGGGGTGGAGATGACATTCTGGTTCCTGGTGATAAAGTAGCTACTTTGAACTAGATGAGAAATCCACAAGGGTGGCCAGGCAGGCTCCCTAAGACCCAGAGCACTTTCTGATTTGTCCTGGGGTATAGGCATCACTAGGATTCTAAGCCACCCTTCTTGCAAGCAGGAAAGTCAGGGGCTTGAAAGCTGCAGCCAGGCACAGTGGCTGATCACATCTGTAATCCGAGCACGTTGGGACATCAAGATGGGTGGATCACCTAAGGCCAGGAGCTCACGACCAGCCTGGCCAACATAGTGAAACCCCTTCTCTACTGAAAATACAAAAATTAACTTAGGAGGCTGAGGCATAAGAATTACTTGAACCCAGCAGGTGAAGGTTGCAGTGAGGCGAGATCGTGCCATTACACTCCAGCCTGGGCCACTGATGGAGACCCTCTCTAAAACAAACAAACAAACAAAAAAAAAAAAGAAAGAAAGAAAGGTGCATACCTCTATGCTAGGCTATACTCATCTTCAGTTTGGGACAATCTCATCTGGGCTCCCCTCATCAGGGCAAAAGCACCCTCTTCGTTCCCATTTATCCCAGGTATGACCACTTAACTTCAAGCAGAAAGAGAAATTACAAGTAAAGGACCCTAGCATAGACTAGACCCTGGGGAAGAATGGCCAGTCTTCTGATCCAGGCAGAAGAGGGCAGGGCTAGCACCTCAGAGGCTGAGCTGGCTGGCTACCCCCACCACCCCATCCCACCAGCCAACAAGGAATTTGCAGCAGCCTTGTGGTTTAAAAGGAAAGCCAGCACAAAATAGGGTGTGTAAACAGAGCAGCATGACATCACCCTGCCATTGTGCTCAGCCTGTTTGGAGGCTCAGAAAGCCTTGGGGGTGGGTGTAGGCTCCACAATGAAACAGTGAACTTGGGGAAGGAAGAGCCAGTTCAAAGAGCTCAGAGAGGTTTCAGTTAGTCTTGTAGGGAAAGGTTCAAGAATCTAGGAAGAGTCAGCTGGGGGAAGGGACTCCTAAATGCAGAACCGAGTTCAGTTTAAAAGCTATCTGTTGGCCATGTGGGGTGGCTCACTCCTGTAATCCCAGCACTTTAGGAGGCTGAGGTGGGCAGATCACGAGATCATGAGATTGAGACCATCCTGGCTAACACGGTGAAATCCCGTCTCTACGAAAAATACAAAAAATTAGCCAAGCATGGTGGCACGCACCTGTAGTCTCAGCTATTCAGGAGGCTGAGGCAGCAGAATCATTTGAACCCGGGAGTCAGAGGTTGCAGCGAGCTGAGATCACACCACTGCATTCCAGCCCGGGCAACAAAGTGAGACTCTGTCTCAAAAAAAAAAAAAGATTTGTTAAGGGTCTATTGTGTACTAGCTTTCTGTAGCACCCAGCAGCAGAGGGGGAGACTCTTATCTCTTCCTTAGGAACTTAGGATTCGCTGTGACAAAGTGGCACATTTATGAAATGATCAAAATGAACACTTGATATAGGGTTAATTACTGAGCGGAGTGTTCCAAACAGGAAGTTATAGGAGTTCATTGAAGGGAGTTTCACTTGGGCTAAATTGGCTAGGGAAGACTTTGAGGAGAAGATTGGACTTGGGCCAAGAGTCTGGGAGAGACAAGCTAAGCTTTGACAGGGCAGAGTGGAAACTGAACAGCAATCCGGGTAAAAGGAAGGGCATGAGCACAGGTGCAGAGATGGGAACGGTGATAGGATATTCAGGAGACAGAGGGGACAGGCCTGGCTGTGGATGGTTATAGGGCATTAGGTTGTAGCAGGACATGCTGCTGGTGATCATGTGGAGGCTGTAGCTGAAACTGAGGGGCTGTGGCTCAGCTGAGAGGCCACGCCACGTGGCAGAGCGTGACAGAGAAAAGAGAAAGAGAAAAGCAGAGCGTGACAAAACCAGGCTTGGGCAACACCCATGACTGGGGGTGGCAGCAGGAATGAAGCCAGTGGAGGAGATGGAAAGCCAGTGGACCAAAGTGGAGAAGCAGTAGAGCATTGCTGCAGAAGTTGGCAAGAGGTTGCTTACTATGCCTCAGGCTGCCAAGAGTAGGAGCCAATGTGGCCTGAAAGGAGACCTTGAGATCTGGCCATTTGTGGGGCTGCTGGGCCCTCAGTGGGAAGGTCCTAAGGAAAGGTGGAGGCAGAAGTCAGACTGGGCCAGACTCAGGAGCAAGCAAATGGGAAGAATGTGGCCAAGTAGTGTCTGACCATGTTAGATGAACTTACTAGGGAAAGGACCAGAGCTGGATGATACCTGTCAGTTATTTCATGGAAAAGGGAAACTAGTTAGTTATTCTTAGCCTGGAAAAGGAGAGGATAAACTGGGGAAAAGCCTTTCCCCAACAGTTATTGAGTGCCTCTGTATGCCAGGCAGAAACTGCTAGGAGCCTGTAATAGCAAACAGTCCCTACTCCTTCAGTCCAGTGGGAAAAACAACAGTAAACATGTAAATGAATGTGCAAGCGAAAGTACTGTTGGCTGGGTGTGGTGGCTCATGCCTGTAATCCCAGCACTTTGGGAGGCTGAGGTGGGCAGATCATTTGAGGTCAGGAGTTCAAGACCAGCCTGGCCAGCATGGTGGAACCCCCATCTTTACTAAAAATACAAAAATTATCCAGGTGTGGTGGTGGGTGCCAGTAGTCCCAGCTACTCGGGAGGGTGAGGAAGAATCTCTTGAATCCAGGAGGCGGAGGTTGCAGTGGGCCGCTATCGAACCATTGCACTCCAGCCTGGGCAATAGAGCGAGACTCTGTCCCCCCATTCCCCAAAACTGAAAGTACTATGGATGACAATGCATACTCTGTTTTTTGTTTGTTTGTTTTTTCTTTTTTTTACTATCTCCAGTAATGGGTATAAGCATGACAATGCATACTCTAAGAGAGTCAACCGGCAGATGTGGTAGATAGGACTGAACGGAGGCCTGAGGAGGTGGTGTTTCTACTGAGACCTGAAAAATGAGATTGAGCTAGCCATGGGAAGAACCAGGAGAAGGACATTCCAGGCAGGAGATGCAAAGGTCCTAAAGCAGAAAGGACTTGCCATGTATGAGGAACAGGGAGGGGAGAATGGCTAGCAGCTAGAGGTCAGAGTACTTGCGAGGCCTTGTAGTGCAATGGGAAGGCCACCAAAGCTTTTAAAGCTGGGGATGAACATGATACGATGAACTTTAGAAAGTCACACTGGCTGCCTTGAAGAGACAGGATTATAGTGAGGCAAGACAAGTGAAAGCCCTACTTCCACTGGAAGGCTGCTGCATGAGTCCAGGTGACAGGCGACATCGCTTGGTCTAGAGTGGTGTCAGAGATCTGGAAAATACTCTCATTCCTCATGGAATGCTATGGAGGATGGAGTTGGGAGTGGTGAGGTTTTGCGTCCTGAAAGGAGCATGGTATGTGGTAAGGTGGGGGTTGGATATACCAGCAGGGAAGGATGCAGGGTCTAAGGCCTGAGCTGGCCCCACACTCTGCTGCGGGTGTCGCTAGGTCTGAGTAGAGCTCTTTCCCCCATCCAGCTCATCATCCACGGTAGCTTTGCTCTGATCCAGCTGCCCCGTTTCCATATCTTCTTCCTGGTCCCAGCAATCATCTATGGGGGTGACAAGCTGGTGAGCCTGAGCCGGAAAAAGGTGGAGATCAGCGTGGTGAAGGCGGAGCTGTTGCCCTCAGGTACTAGCCTGGCAGGAGATCAGCTTGGTGGCACTTAGGGAGCTGACGAGGCAGAGGCAGAGTATATACCACATAGTTTCCTGGTTGGGCCCAGTGGAGCTGGCAGGGGCTTTGGGTGGCAAGGACAAAGAAGCTGATGGGGGCTGGGTATGGTGGTTCACGCCTATAATCCCAACACTTTGGGAGGCCGAGGTGAGCAGCTCATGAGGTCAAGAGATGGAGATAGTCCTGGCCAACATGGCGAAACCCTCTCTTTACTAAACACAAAAATTAGCTGGGGGTGGTGGTATGTGCCTGTAGTTCCAACTACTTAGGAGGCTGAGGCAGAATTGCTTGAACCCGGGAGGCAGAGGTTGCAGTGAGCTGAGATCACACCACTGTACTCTATACTGCAGCCTAGTGACAAAGTGAGACTCTGTCTCAAAAAAAAAAAAAAAAAAAAGCTGGTAGAAAGAGCTCTTTGGCTCTTTGCCAGAGGACCAAGCCTCTCTCATCACAGAGCAGAGAAGCTCAGGTGAGGCTTCCCCTTGCCCAGCTGACCCTCAGCCCCAGGGCTGCCTGGCTTCCCTCAGGGTGAGCTCTGATGGCGGAGGCTTCCCTAGTCATATTCCAGAAGCAGAGCTGAGGCTGCGGGTGGGGAGCTCTCTGGAGGCCACATTGTTGCTGGGTTCAGGGCAGCAGCCTCCACCCACCATCCCTCCCCAGGAGTGACCTACTTGCGGTTCCAGCGGCCCCAGGGCTTTGAGTACAAGTCGGGGCAGTGGGTGCGGATTGCTTGCCTGGCTCTGGGGACCACTGAGTACCACCCCTTCACACTGACCTCCGCACCCCATGAGGACACACTCAGCCTGCACATCCGGGCAGCAGGGCCCTGGACCACTCGCCTCAGGGAGATTTACTCAGCCCCGACGGGTGACAGATGTGCCAGATACCCAAAGGTACCAGACCCAGGCCAGATGTGTCACATGCTCCGATATCTCCTTTGAAGGCCTTGGCCTGGCAGCACTAGACTCCCCACTCTGTTCCTTCCCTCCCCACACCTAGAGACTGGTTGTTCCAGATAATGCCACAAACCCTCCTCTTCCCCTCACTCCATATATGTATCTGCCTTTCCCTCCCTCTCATTTCTGACTTCAGATCTATGGTGGTGGCCAAGCTTAACTCAAACCCATGCCCTTCCCTACAGCTGTATCTTGATGGACCATTTGGAGAGGGCCACCAGGAGTGGCATAAGTTTGAGGTGTCAGTGCTAGTGGGAGGGGGCATTGGGGTCACCCCTTTTGCCTCTATCCTCAAAGACCTGGTCTTCAAGTCATCAGTCAGCTGCCAAGTGTTCTGTAAGAAGGTGAGTGCCCCCTCTTCCCACCGACTCGTGGCCCCTTCTTCCTTGTCATGGTACCCATCTGTGCCTTTCTCCCCTGCCTTTGTTCTTGGTTTCCCTGAACTGGGCAGCAGCAAGTTGGTTTGAAACCTGGGGTTAAATCATGAATGGGGTGGTATCAGGATATAGTTTGCACATGCCTCCAGGATCCTGCCTGGTTTACAGAAATTCCTTCCTTAGTTGGGGGTGCTCCACATAGGATTTACTTCTCAGAGTTCCTCTAGGAAAGGTTGGAGGGCGTGAAGAAACCCATTCCTTCTTACAGAGGAGCCCAGCACTTGGAGCCTTACTGCACTGGAAAAGGGAAGGGCACACGGGTGGGGCACAAATGAAACTGGCTCAGATCGCAAGAGGAAGAGGAGGAGAGGGGGCAAAGCAGGGCTGTTGGGCCAGATTGGCCCCAGGAACACAGCTTAAACCCTGAGGCCCTCACACGGGTCCTTTCACCCCAGCCTGGACTTGGTGGCAGGCCCCTGCTCGTCTCTCTGGGCCTGGCAAGTGAGTCAGGGGCCCTGGAATGCAGTGGGCAGAGGCCCAGCCCATGTGCTGTCAGCATTCAGAGGGTGACAGCTCCCCTCCTCTTCTCTGTGTTTTTTTTTTTGTTTTTTTTTTT